TATATATATATATTCGTCAATAACTATTGTATATATATATATATATTCTTTCAATTATTATTTCCAATTAAAATAATTATTTATACAATTAATATACGATTACTTTATATTTGTTATTTATAAGTAATAAATTAAATTTGTTTATTACATTTTATATCTTATTCTAAATAACTTCTAATATTGTATTGATTTCTTTAATTTTCTAATATTGTATTGAATATAATAATATGAAATTATATGAAAGATTCCAGAATAAAAGAATATTTCAATGTATGGGAATTTTTTCGAAAATTACGAATTCAAATTAATAAAAATTAGATTCCTTTCAGATGAAAAAATTTAAACTGAAATACATAATGAGAAATAAAATTTTAATAAATTGTTTTAATAGAAATTTTGACGAAAAAATTTGTACACAAGAAAAATGTAACATAGAAATGTATTTTGTAAATTGTGACAAGATGACAAATTATATTATGATAAAAAATATTCTATATATATAAATGTATTCAAAAATTAGAATATAATTTCATTTATATTTAATTTTAAAAAAATATTTATTGAAAATATCAAGTTTTGTTATTGGAAATTATAATCATTGGTATATTAAAATTAAAATATTTCAATTTATCAACACTAGATTTAATTCCAATAGTATCATTACTCAAGACAGAATAATTTTAAATAATTTTAAATAATTCTTTGTTTTTGAATTGTGTATTAATTCAATCAATTATTAATTCATCGTTGATATTTAAATTATTAAAAATTTTTTTTTATAAATTATTGATACATATCTATAAATAGGTACATATTATATTATATTATGTAAGAAATTTATGATAATATAAATATAATATAAATATAATAGCAAAAATATTATTAAGAAAACAATATTTTCAATATTTTCATTACTTCACGATTCAATTTATTGATTGCATATTATAGGATTATAATCTATGTTGATAATATAACATAATAAACAAAAGAATCCTGTTCAAAGGATTTTTATGTTTTTCTAACATGAAAATAAATTATCAAAATAAAAACTTACGTTTTTTGTGCTAAGTTTAAATATATAATGTATTCTAAAGTTGAAAGGTTTTATAAAAAAATTTAAATTTTAATTGCATTTATTTCTCAAATATAATTATTTATATTTACTTGAATTTTATGAAATACAAAATAAATATGAATAAAAGAATTGAATAACAAATTTTTTATAAAATATAATTTTATAAATATTAACTTTTCTTTTTTTATTTTCATCTAAAAAGAAATATGTTTGATAACCTTTCTATTAAGATTGTCTTCGTTCCGAAAACAGACGTTTAACTTGTTCGGATATATTATCCCCACTATTCATATTACTTGTAACTTATAATGGAGATTCTATTCTATACATATATATATATAAGTATAAAAAATACGTAGTAATGATTAATTTTATATATATATATATTTTTTATATACATACATATATACACACACACACACACATATATATAAATAATAAGAAAATTTTCTTTAATAAAAAATTTTTATCTTAAAT